AAAAATATTAATCTTCAAAACTATTTATAGAAAATTAATTTGCTACATTTGTCTTCTAATGATTTTTCTAGATGGACATTCCAGAAACAACCAAATTCAAACTCAAATCCAACCTCTCTAATTCATTAGAATAATAAATAGGTCATAAGCTCAACATCTATCATGCAGAGTATTTTAAAAAGAAACTAAAATGTGCACTGTACTACTGTCTCTAAATCTCATCCTTAACATACCCTATTTAACAGATCACTAGTATAAGCAGATATATTCACTTAGGAACTTCTAGTTCCTTGCAAAGAAAGCAGTCATTATAGCAAAACTTTAGACTTCTATTTGGATACATGTTTAGCTACTTAAACTAAGCTGAGAAACATCACAGCAATATACAACCTGAATCTATGTATAATCTAGGGAAAAGCCAACACCACATGATTTCTCATAATATATACCTGATCACAGCATTTCTTTGGAATTAAACAGCAAAATAAAAATTTCTTTCAAACTTATCAGCAATACAGGACTGGGGAGAACAAAGTAAAAGTGAAAAAATAAAATTAAAGAAAGGATACAGCCTTAAAGCACCAGTCTGAGTTCCCACTGCCAGGATCTTCTGCACAGGATCAAAGGCCAGGGCTGAGGGTTGATAGGGAAATCCATGGCGAACAGTCTAGGGATGGGCAAGAGACAACACAGCAACCAAGGCAGTAAGTGAAATTTAAAAACAGGAAAGTCAATACAGCCATTAGAATTTAGAACCAACTATCACCCGATGCAAAACACATATACGTGCACTTACTGCTTAAAAAAAAAGTGAAATCTACATTAACAAAGTTATTCACATAGAACCTGAAAAGACAATAATCTATCCCAGCGACACACTTTAATTTCTCTTTTTCCATAATACTGGTATTCCACAGAAGAAAATTTCTTATTAATATTTTATCCTATTACATCTGACATCAAATGACTAAAGTTTGCAGTGGTTCAAAATTCTGTAAATCCATTAAAAAATGCAATTCATGCTTTATTTGGGGAGTAATGGCTTCACTATTACTTTATTCGGATGCTAAATGCAAGAACTTCTAAGAAAAAGCTGTCATATAATTACTTTCAGTCAAGGATTCAGTAAAGCAATTATCGAACCTCTATCCCAGCATTTTGCACTTGTAACAGAATGAAAACGAGTACAACATATAGTCTTGCAATTTACTACTGAGGCCATAACCATTTTAGGGCATCAGGGCAAAAAAATATATGTGCATGCTTTTACGAAACTCTGACATACAAACACATGGCTATTTATAAGGAAGGTAAGTATTAATACCAAGACAAGTTTGTATTTCTCAATGAGCAGCTGGTGAATTAATTCGCTGCATCATTCTTTCTGAATGACAGAACACTATGCAATTACTGTGTCATTAATAGGAAAAAATCTCAGTATTAACTTTTTGACCAAATACAATGATAAAAGAATCCTGCGGATTTCATACTGTAAGCCACTCGTAACACATTTTAAGGGAAAAGTGATGAGCAAAGATCTGGTAGAACAGGTTTGGCTTTTAGATAAACAATATTCATTAGAAACTGTTTCCAAAGGAAACTTCAAAGTTGGTGAATTATATTAAAATGCTTGAATATAAAAGCTTCCAGATCATTGCTGGTAATGTAAGAATACGAATTAAAGGTCAGATACTACGTTTGAAGCAACCTTAAAGTGATTGCTGCATGTGAAAAGGGAAGAGAGAAAAATCAAGGGAAAAGAGTAAGATATAAATCTCCAAAATAACCCTTCAAAGAAACGTTCGCTAGAGGAGGAACGAGCCCTTTACAGCTATAGATTATTATTGGTGCTCTCTTCCCCTGCACTCCCCAGTAAAGCCCGAGGTGCCCCTTAAAAAGATCCCAATTTTTCAATGACGGCGCCGCGGGACTGCGCGCTCCGTTCACCTTGCAGAGCTGAAAGTGCTCGGACTGGAGCGTTTCCTGGATCTCCGGCTCACGGTTCCCAGTCGGCTGCTGCTGCTGCTGCTGCTGTGAGGTCGAGGACGAGCCGGCGGTCAGGCCGTCCAGCACCTTCCTGATGTTGAATTTCCTCATGGTCTCGGCGGGGCTCCCCCGCAGCCCGGGAACGGAGTCACAGGGGGTCCCCGGGCGGGGGAGACAAGCCGGGGCCGAGGGCAGCTTCGACCGAGGACACGGAAGAGCGGGAGTGTGAGGGGAAGGTGGCAGCTGGGGGGGAAGCAAAAGATAATCCGAACAGGAAATGCTGCGACGACGAGAGAGCGGCGACCCCTCTTCTTCTGAGGCCGCCGCTGCTCGCCGCGGCTGCTGTGGCGCCGCTTCAGCCGCCGCCGCCTCCTCGCTCCGCGGCCCGGCGGCAGCAGCAGTGGCGGCGGCTCCCGAGCCGGCTCAGCCCAGCCTCACCTGGCCGCGGGTGGACTCTGCGCCGCGCCGCCGCCCCGGCTCGCCCCCGCCGCGTCCATGGCCCGCGGCCCAGCCGCTGGTCTCCCGCCCCGACCCCGCAGTCCCTCGGCGCGTCCTCCCGCTCCCGCTCCTGCTCCTCCCAGGGGTTGCCGGCTCTCCCTCCGCGGCTGCCGATGGGCCTCCCCGCCGCTCAGCGCCGCTGCCCGCCCGGCATCGCACGCAGGGCTCCCGGGGTGGGTCCCGAGCTCTCCGCCTCGCTCCGCCGCCGCCAGAGCAGCCCGCCCTCGCTCCTTCAGAGCCCCGCTGTCTTCCTCAGGCGCCGCGGCGGCCGCCGGCTCTCCCCGCCCAGCCGCTCCCCCTCGCCTGACAGGGCGCCTCGGCACACGGCACCAACGCCCGCCCCGAGCAGCCGCGGCAGCCGCGGGTACAGCGCCGGCCGCGGCGGTGGCGGCAGCTGGGCCTCCGCGGAGCAGGGCTGCGGGGCGTGCGCATGCGCACCGCTGCCTCTTCCCTCCTCCCCACCGGCTCCCTAGCCCCCCAGCGCCCAAGCCCGGGCGAAGCTGGGGCTTAATTTATCCTCTGCGAAAATCCCAGACGCTGGCTAAATTTCTTCCACCTCAATCGCACTGCCAGAGTATGCAGCTGCTTCTCCTGCAGCTGGCATAGTAAAAATGTTGACGACTAACAAGCAGCAGGAAACCTTTATTGCAAATTCGGTCATTACAGCGGGGTTTATGCTTTCGCCCGTTAAGCACCGACGAAAGCATAAACACGCTCCCGGCCGCTGGCTGCAATATTATCGTTGTTGCTTTGTTGATGGGCTTCGTTTTGGATTGATTTGGGTTTGGGTTTTGAAAACGAGCGTCTAGGCAACAATGTCAGTGGCAAGAGGATGACTGACTGAGGAGGGCACTAGGAAAGGAGAGAAACCTAGACGGGAACAAGCGGATTCTCTCCTGGAGCTTTCCTGTTGGTGGAATGGGTCCGGCCGTAGCAGGTAGCTGCTGGAATGGAAGAGGCTGCCAAAAGGGAACCGCTCCAGGGCTGGGTGTCTGCCCTGGCCAGTGACACACCACCCCAATCCCGTCGCCGCGCGGGGGTGAGTGGGAACGGGGGCGAGGTCGCGGGGGGCAGTGAATGCCGCGCTGCCACTCGTTTTCAGAACCCTAAATCCGCCCCAAAGCTGATGATCCACTCAGTAATCCCCGGTGGCTTCTCCACTCTCGAGAGGGCAAAGGGGGGTGGGATGAAGTTTTTGCTCAGACCTCTCCGCTGCTCACTGGCTTGGACACAAAGGTCCGGCTCAAGTTTGAAAAGGTGGAGGGAGATTCAGGCGCGGGGCGGGAAGGAAGGGGCGAATCCTGCCGAGAGCGCGCTCGCCCAGGCCAGGTGGATGGGAAGCAAAGGTACGTGATTAGGAAAGGTGCGGAAGATGGGAGAGACGCGAGGCAGGAGGGAAGCGATAAAGACCAATTTCAACTCAGGGCGGGGCTGGGGAGGACAATCTCCGGGTTACTGACTCCCCGCCCCTCTGGTCCTGCGAAAAACCACAGAAGAGCTACAAAGGGTTTTTTAGTTCCAAACCGAAATCAGAAGCACCCGCCCTCCTCTTTATGATTGGTAGCCTCCTGCCCCTCCAGAGAAATTCTCGTCGCAGTATTGGTTGTTGTCACCAGCCTTCAAAGGACAGTCAGCAAACCGACGACGACCCGGGCTAGTGGGTTTCGGGAAATGTAGTTCACCACGCAGCTTCCTCATCCTAGGACGACGTCTCACCCTTGTACCCTATAAAATTTTGTTTTGCGGTTTACAATTTATTGAATTAGGCAGTTAATTCACTGGGTGCAACGAACAATAAAATAGATTTGAGGACTTTATTAGGCTATTCTCAAGTGGCTCTGAACTCTCTTTATGAATTTAGTTCTCTGAAACATTTTGTTGAGTGTCAGGCGTTGTGCTGGGTACTGAAGACACAAAAATGCAATTCTTGCTTTCAACCAGCTCGCCAGAGTCTAACCAGGGCGACCTTAATGTAAACAAGTAATTGTAAAACAACGTGCTGAGTTCAGTGATGGAATAATCTTAGGAAGAAGACCGCAGACAGCCACTTAGCTGGCCAGGGAAGGCCTGGAAATGGTGACACCGTAGACTGTGCATGCTGAGTTGGAGTTGACCAACTGCACAGGAGGCAGAAGTGCCTTGGGAGGCAGTGAGGAAGAGGGGAATGTTAGGATTACCTGGAGAGCTTTTTAAAAATACAAATGACTCCATGGGGAAAATTACAAAACAGAGAGATCACATTCCCACAGGATTTTTTGATCTGCCTTTACATCTAGGTTTAAAATAAATCTGTTGAATAATTTGCCATCATTGAATTATGAAACTTTTTGGAGAAAGGACAACTTCTTGTTGAGAGGCCCTGTGGTGTAGTGGAAAAATCCCAGGCTTTGCTGTCTGCCAGACACGAATAATCAATCCAGGCCCTGGTAACATGTGCAACCTTGGGAAAAATTCCTTAATTTTCCTAAGGGTCAGATTCCTCATGTGTAAAATGAGATTAATACTACCTTTTCCCTAGGGTTTTATGAGGATAAATTGGAGGGGGAAGAAAAGAATGTGAAAAGTTTGTACTATCTTACTTATAATAGCACTCTGTAGATACTCAAAAACATCAGTTTCCCATTCTACTATCAGTGTCCTTGAGGTAAAAGAGAATTCAAAAGGCCATCGATTTAAGCAAATACCCTAATTTTGACTTTTGAATTTTTGTTTTGATTTCCATACTTTCTCTCTCCCATCAGATTATGAACTCATTCTGGCATTCTCAAAACTTCAGTGCTGGGAGGATACCTGAATTTTAAGATGAATGTAGATTGGCTTTATGAACCTGCAGTCCATCCTCTCTAAGCTCAGAGACACTGGGACATTTCCAGAAATCCATTCAGTCAAAAATACCAATGTCCCAAAATAACTGCCTTTATATAGCAAACATAAATTAATGGATCTTCAAACTCATAATATTTCTTG